GTTGTCTAAGGGCCATTATTTGGGTTTGACATGGCCAGGGCCTGGGCTTTGAAGTCGGGAGCAGGACACCGTTAGAGCCGTTTGTGTCCGGCCACGGCTCCCACGCGGCAACACCATCCTCTGCCAGCGGCTCCCAGCGGGATGGGGATGGAGGAGCAAAGCCTCAAAACCAGATGGATGCCACCAGGCTGGCTCTGCTTGGCCCGGCTGTGTTGCAAGCTGGGCCCCTTTGGGTGAAGAATGAGGAAGCTGCTTAATTGGAGTTTTATCAGCAGAAGTTCACAGCTCCCATCATGGCATCAAACGGCCCTTGGGCTTTCAACTCCCCTCCACCAAACAAGTTGTGGGAAGGAGGATGAGGAGCACATGAAAGTGGCCACATTCAAATGGCACCAGCAAAGAGCTGGCAAGCTGACAAAGCCCCCCCTGGCACAGCCCCCAGCCCAAGGAACCAAGGGAGGGAATTTATCAAATCCCAAGAAATGCAGGAAGGAGCGCGAGCGGCTCCGCACACACGCGCTGGCACAGGCTGAAGGCTTCCCAAACCAACGGAAGCTGGAGGAGCACAGCCAGAAAAGCGAGTATGGCAACGTGTCCCAAAAAAGCTTCCGAGGAGGAAGGATGATCCTGGCAGCTGGCAGGGTATAGGTGACCCCCTTCCCCATGCTGAGCTGCAGGAAAATGCTGACAGAGCGTGGCCCAGGGACGAAGCCGCATCGCAGCAGCAGCGATGGTTTACAACAAATAACTCTTGCCAGGTTAAGACTAATTGCATCTAAAAACAGAAATGCAAGACAAGGGTTTTAACACAACACTCAGGGTAATAGATCCGCTCTCACTGCATCCCGCTGCCAAAAAGCGTTGGATTGGATTACGGACGTTATTACATCAAAAATGGATTGAAGGGCTTAAGGACTCACAATAAACAGCAAACGTCTCGGATTTATGAGGAAACATCTACTAGGACCTTGCTTTTCCCTCAGCATTGTCATCAAACAAGGGCTCTGTGCTTTAAAGAGGCTCATGGGACAGGTTGGATACTGAGGAAGAACACCTGGAAGAATACCTCGGTACCACTACCACATCTGCAAACAGCTGCCTGGAGTGCACCCTGAGGCTGAGCAAGGTTTGCCAGGGGGTCTTCACACCCCACTGAACACAGAAGGGGCTGCCAGGACCACTACCAGCCCCAGAAAAAACAGAGAAGGAACTGGGAATTATGGGAGTCCATCCAGTTCATCCCCTGCCATGGGCAGGAACACCTTCCACTAAACCAGGCTGCTCCAAGCCCCATCCAACCTGGCCTTGGACACTTCCAGGGATAAGACAATTCCAGGGATGGACTAGGTGACATTTAACAGTTCATTCTAACCCAAACTATTCTTTGATTCTCTGATCCAGAACTGTGGGATAGCAGGGAGCCACTCCAGGAGCTCCTCCTCACGTCACCCTGCTGCCAGGACATGGGGATTAATGGATCTCTATCCAGGCACCTCATTACCAGAGATAGTAAAACTGGAGCAAGTTCAAAGAGGAGCAGCAAACGCAATTAGGAGCTGGAGTGAATTAGGAGGGGAGGTGGAGGGAGCTGAACCTGCAGGGCTGGATAAGCTGTGGTGGGGCCGGAGCTGCCCACGACATCCCAGGAGTGCAGGCACCAGGCAGGGGAGAGTGCATTCGGTGGGAAGTATTTTGTAGGGAGGGGACAGGACACTGGGGATAGGAAATCCCATCAAGGCACCAAAGGCAAATGGGAAACACCCAGGAGACCAGGGATGGAAGAAACCACAGCATATCATGATATAAAACACACAATTCCCAAATTCCCAGCTCCTTCACCCTCTCAGTACTTCATCCTGGGGGTGGTGCCCATGTCCTGCTGGAGTCCCACGTGTCCCCCCAGCCTCTGTCTCCACTGGACTTGCAGGCAGATGCGGCTGCATCTTGTTCTTTATAGAAAGCCTTAGGAACAAGCATCACCTTTCCTTCTCCATCTCCAGGAGTAAAAATGCTTTTAAGGAAAGCCTGGAGCTGGTGTGGAAGGGTCGGTGTGAGGCTCTGGAGAGGATGGGGACAGGGCACAGCAGCTTTCAAAAGCCTTTTCATTGCTAAGCCGAGGGCTGGGGCCATGTCCCTCCATGATAAAAGTGCTCCTAAACAAGACTTGGCATATCCAAAGCGATGGCAAGGAGTGGTCCTGAATAGGAGGGACCCTGGGAAGCCCCCCAGCTCCGGTGAGGAGGTTTTCCAGCTGCTGGGGCAAGTGGGGGATGAGCGGCACACGCCCAGCTCCCCTCGGCTCTAGCGTTGCTTCCTCGGCTTAGAAATGAAAAGGGAGAAAAAAAACCTTTTGTGTGTCCAGGCAAAGCTTGTGGAAAGGGAGGGGAGAAAAATTGGGGGGAAAAAAAAAGACAATATGTGGGTGGTCTGCTCAGGAGACTTTTGACTTTGTTTTTTTGGCTATTTTATTTCTTGGCAGAAAGAACTCCTGGGGCTGCTCGGCAGAGGGTACGGCCAGATCACAGGAGCATCCTCAGCCCACCCAGGGGCCAAAGTTCAGCTGGCAGCTCCCAGCTCCGAGGGGTTTCGCATCAAAGCTTGGAGGAGTCAAGAGAAATTAAAGTCAGAAACGGTCCAAGGCAGGGGCAGAGGGCACTGCCGGCCCCCTGAGGAGAGGGGGGGTACCCCACAGGGATGCTCCAAGCACCCCCGCTCGCTGCATCCCTACACAGCCTGAAACTGGAAACAAGAGGATAAATAGGATTTTATATTGAAAAATGAGCTTAAAAGGCTCAGTCCCACATCCGACGGGATGCGCAGCCGGGATTTCCCAAGCTGGGCTGTGCTGTCTTTGCAAAATCTCGGCTGTGTGTCCCGTCGGATCCGCAGCGAGCTGGAGCCGGTCACCTGCAGTGACCCAGGTGTGCTGGCAGCCTTGGAGGGGAGCTGGCATCGGCTCAAAGCCACGGGGGCCCCGCGGGAGCCGCGTTTGGAGTCGGCAATGCACCGGCAGCCGCTTGTGAAAGCACCTCCCAAAGCTCCAGGAGGTTGATTTTCACTTCAGTTTTCGTGTGAAATGCAAAACAGCTCCTTAAAATTTGGGTAATTCAGAGGCTGGTAAATCCTTCTGCCTCCACCTTCCTCATGGACTTGGTTACCATAACAGGGATCCCATATTTCTTCTCCTCAGTGCTTTGTTCACCTCCTGAGCTCGTTTAGGGGAGCCTATTTTTCTTTGAGGGCTCTTTGCAGCCTGAGAGTCCCACGGGCTGTAGCTCGGAGGACCCCAATTTCAGCCCTCATTAGCTTGATGACCATGTCAGTGCTTGAACTTGACCCCTGAACACAGAGGAGCCACTGACCGAGTGCTTCAAGATGTTTGCGTGACCCAAACCTGGCACTTTGGCCTCTTCCAAATTTCTGACCACTTCAGGCAAAGCTTGTATTCAATCAAGCTTTCCATCAGCTGAAGGATGGCAGAAGGGCTGAACTTTGGGGTCCCAGAGCCACCAGGCTGGTGCCAGCTGTGGTAATGGAGATGGGAGCCTACACGGGAGTTGTGCCAGGGCTTTTGGCATCCCCAGCCCATCTGGGGCATCTGGGCTGGAACCAGGGTGTCCTGCCCCCAGTGGCTTCAAAGCTGATGCCCCTCAGGTGACATGGGACACACATCCCTGTGTCTACACGGTGACAGTGACCATTGCTCTGGAAGAGCCTGGCCTGGCCACAGTGACTCAGCCCTGCAGAGCCCGCAGTCACTGCCAGCACAGAGCCGAGCTGGCTCTGCAGGTTGTGGCGCCAGGTCGTCCCTGCTGTCACCCCTCCTGTTAGGGAAACTTCCCTGGCTGACCATCCAGGAGCCACTTAGGCATCTCCACAGCCACACAGGGAACAGAGTCCCCTGCAAGTCCCTGTCACCACCCAAGCAAAATTTGCCATGACAGAAGTGATGAGGGCTCAAGGCTGACCTGCCAGAGCCAGGCCTGGCTGCTTCCTCTGAAGCACGTTTATTCCAAATTATTCTGCTGCAAGATTCCAACAGCCCCAGCCAGGCTTGCTGGGGACATCCAGCCCAGCAGCCTCACCACAGCACCACGCTACAGCACAGTCCCCCCGTCTCCACTGCCTTGCCACCCCCTCCCAAAGATTCCAGGCTAAAAATACTCTGTTTCCAGCCAGGAACACACGGCTCCCACGGCTGGGAGCTCGCTCTCTCACAGGCAGTGACCCCTGTGCTGGCCGCTCGCCGCAGAGCCCACGGCACACAGCGAGGGCAGCTGAGCCGTGGCCACCGTGCCCTTTGCAGTGCACCCAGCCAGGTGGGGACAGCCAGGCTGAGGAGGAGGGGAGGGGACAAAGAGAGAGCTGGCAGCACTACCCAGACATGGCTGAGCCCCCTCCATCCACACCAGAGCAGGCACAAGCTGATACATTTCTGTGCACGCACAGACCACAGGCAACGAGAAAATTCCAGCCTCCTGTCTCCCCTGCATAAAATGCCATGGTGCACAAAGACACAAACAGAACAAGCCAGTGTGCAGAATTTTTCAGCCACTTTGACCACATCACACACTGGATACCACCAGCACTTCCTGGTGCTGGGGCTGCTCTTGGAGGCAACACCCAGGAATAAGGACAAGCATCATTATTCCTCTTTCTCCCCAGCCCCAAAGCAAAACCCTGCAACACTTCCAGCAAAGAAGGCAGCAAAAATAGGCTCCAGGCATGACAGCACTCCAGGGCTGACCCCAGATGGGGATGTGCTCCTGCTCCCAGCCATGAGCAGGGCAGGGGACACAAGCACAGCAGCCAGCTAGAGACCAGTGACCCACTCGGCCAGTGACACATTCCTCCCCCTGTTCCCATCCAGCGGGACATATTTTCCATCCATGTCAGCTCTTTGCACCGGCCAAGTCACACACAAGCGCCTGGTGACACTCTCCAGGCGCCCGAGCCCTCCCGAGCCAGGGCTGGCAGCGAGGAAGAGGAGGGCGACTCACATGTGATGAAGTAATCCTGCTGCCGCTTGAATTCCAGGCCCATGTAGTTGGGGCTGAACTCCTGGAACTTGATGGTGAAGCGGATCTCCTGCTCGGGCCGGTTGCACGTCACCAGCACGTTGGGGTCCATGACAGTGCTGCAGGCATCCGCCTGCTCCTTCCTCACCAGGTACAGCTTGTAGTACTCGTAAGGCTTGGACGGCTCCGCCTTGGGGCAGATAATGTCCAGTTTATCCCCAATCTCTGGGTAGATGACCAGCCCCTTCCCAGTCATGAACCTGCAAGAGAGGAGGGTAAGAGGTTACCACGTGCTGGAGCAGAGGCCACACTAGCCCGGCCCACCCCACACTGACACCGTTTATTTTGTACTTTGTAACCCTCTGTAAGATGGGTTTTGACATCAAAACCAAGCTCTCCTCTTGTCACCCCAGCCTGTCCATGGAGCCAGGAGAGGTTCCTGCTGAAAAAAACAGGGCTGGCTTGGGCCAGTCCCGCTCGCCAGCCATGCTGAGGGCGGGCACCCTTCTCAGCCCCAAGCCTGGCATCCAACTGAGAATGAGTCTTCCCACAAAGGGCTGGGAGACGCCGCGGCTCTGCCCGACGGCCAGGCAAGGAGCTTCCTGCAGGGACAGGCAATAATTAGGCAGAGGGAGAAGTCCTGACAATGGGGCGCAGGGAGGGATCCCGTCCACGCCCTGGCTCCCTGAGGAATTCTTGTCCTTAAATGGAAGGGAAGGAAGCATCCTGCAGGACAACTTCTACTGAGCCAGGCTCAACAGCGTGCCCAGGAGCGTGGGAGGACCGGATGGAGAGCAGCAAGGAGGGAGGAAAGCTATTCGGGGCTGGAAGGCAGGGCATTGGGAAGGGTAGGAAGGCGAGATGCTGATAATTAACATTCGGATCTCGTTATGGTGGGGCAAGGCACTGATTAGGTTTTTTCAGCGTGAAGGAGAGGATTAGGGCAGCAAGGAGGGAAGCAGCAGATCATCTACTTTGATGTAGGCAACTAAACGCGTTCCTGATGGGAGATAAGGTGGGAATGGATCTTCCTGCAGAGTTATCTGTGCTGCAACTCTCTCACGTAATCTGGGCACGGCAAAACACAACGCGAGCGCTTTGCCAAGGCTGCACGGCCACGCTTCCCCTTCCCTGTCGGACACAGCCCATCCCTGCCCCAGCCCACCCCGGAGATTGGATGGGGGCCGGGATACCTTCTCCCCCAGCCAGCTGCTCCGGCTGGAGCTGCAGGCTCCATGGAAGGAAGATCAAACACACAAGACCAACCTGCTCCGTGGCTCCATGCAAGTCTTAGCAAGAAGCCACAGAGCTGGAACCAGCACCAGGCCTTTGGCTGCAGGAGCCCAGCAGATCCACAGGCAGGGCTGGGAGCAGGCAGGCAGAGCCGGAGCCCACGCACCCTCAGTGCCCTTGGCACAGGCTCCAGAGCTTGGTGCCAGCTGCAGCAGCAGGGCAGACACACAGACATCATCTGTACCTCACTTGCAGCTTGCCAAGTCAGAGGAGCACCCCAGCCACCCACGGCACGGCACAGGAATGGCAGGCACAGCCCCATCACAGAGCTGGATTTACAGGAGTTATGGGTCCATCCTCCCTTCTTGGCTGCAGCTTCACCACATCAGCTCCAGTAATACCCAAAGCAGCACAATGGAGCAGCTGAGATCATCCCAACCCCAGCAGCACCTTGCCCACGTGAGGTTGCAGGGAGTTTTGTACAAGTCATGATTCAGGCAGAAGGTGACCACGAATGGGAAACTTGGCTTCTGGAAAGTCTTCAGGGATGCAGGTGGGATGCAGAGTCCACCTCCATCCCAGCACTGCAGGCAGGTGAGCCATGCTTTGCTTCACACGACCAAGTAGGTCACTTGGCCAGTGGCCAGCACACACTTCCAAAGACCGGGGAGCGATAAAGGCTTCCCCACCCACGGCCGGAGCCCTGACGCAAGGCCGGAGCGGGAGCAGGAGGCGGGAGCAGCCCCTGTCCCTCCCTCCCCGCCCGGCCGCAGACACGCAGCGCAAGTGAACACTTGCATGGGTTCCCACCCCGAGAGGCAGCTGGATCCCACACTCCTTTCTCCACGGTTGGGCTGAGTCAGAGGCTTCCTGGCACAGGACTCTGGAGTGACTCAAGCTCCCTCCTCCAGCCCCTGCCAGCTCCCTCCTGCCCAGAAGATGCCAAACAGGAAGCCACAAACAAGTCAAGCAGATGTCTTGCACCGCCAGAGCAGGAGGAGAAGGCTCCTATCCACCCTCATCTCCATACCAGGAGGACCTATCACACCTCTGTGGCCAAAACCTTGGCCAACACCTGCAAACCAACCGGTCCTTGGGCCACCAGCCTGTTGGGATCAGGCCAAATGGATTTGTAAGCAGGGGAGGGGCCATGAAGTAACCGAGGGAGCTGAGAACCTCCCAGCACCACATCCTGCTGGCACCTCTTCATCTCAGGAACTTCAGGACCAAGGCCTACCTTTGGTTTATGTAAGGATAAAACAAGGAGGCAAATCCCTTCCACGAATGCTCAGTCTCAGCTCCAGAAGCACACAGCTGCTGTCCGGGAATTAGCCCAGGAACATCTTCCAGATCCACACAAACATGGAGCAAGACAAAGCCGCTTCCCTGTGCATGGAGCTTTTGTGCTGTTCCCTCCAACTGCTGTTCCCCACCACCCGCATTCCCACCTGCACACAGACCGTTTTCCCTTTGTCCTCCAATTTTCCTGATTTTTTTCTCCTCCATTTCCCCTCTTCTCCAACAGCAGGGCTGCTTCCAGATGACAGCCTGGGCAGCACAGGAGAGGAGATAAACCTGAGGCAAACCCCTCACACAGCTCTTCCAGCTTTTCACCACACACAGAGACCATTATTTCCCCCCAAAATTCTGCTTTGTCACAAGAACAGCTTGTGATGATCATCCTAGAGGAGATCAACAATAGCTCCCACCATGCCAGAGGCTGGCTCTCAGGGAAATTCTCCTTTAAAATACACAGTGAAAAACAACATTTATCACATGAAAAAGAGAGGAAAAAAAGTCCAAAAATTGTCATGTGTTGCCTGAACGCAGGGTTTCAGCCAGTTCTGGAGACAAGGAATTTTAGTTCCAAGGGATGGTTGATGACAAAAAGGAATTACACTCTTGACTTGTCTTCACAAGGACATGTCTTCAGATTTATCTTAACCCGGAGGAGTGAACAGAGCAACTCTTAAATTAATAGGGAGATTCACCATGCCCTCAGAGCACCTGTAATTTCAGGGAGGGAAGGGGGAATCTGCTGTTCCTCTGGAAAACACAGATTGATTTCACTGTTTTAAGGTGGGAAGGGGAAAAAAAAAGAGAAAAACTAAAACTTAGCTTAACCTTAAGGCTGGAACAACTCTCAGCATTAAGAATCACTCTTTTCTACCTTGCCAAACATGCAGAAGGAGGAGGAGAATGGCTACAGCTTTATTCCTGCCCCATCCTTAGAAGTGTCAAAGGCCAGGTTGGAGCAACTTGGGATAGTGGAAGGAGCTCCTGTCCATGGCAGGGGTTGGAACTGGATGAGGTTTAAGGCCCCTTCCAACCCAAACCATTCTGGGATCCTATGATTGGCACCATCACCAGTTTACAGGTAACATCCCAGCATTCTTTCTCCTGGCGTCCAAGGGGGTGGAAATTATTAACTAGAGCCATTAAAGCTTAAAACAAGTATTTTTTTTGCCAGCTGAGCAGGTGGAGAGTGCTGGCAGCTTCATCCCTTAAAGCCCCTGAGGTGATCTTTGGGTGGCACCATTTGGGTGGCACCAGCAGAGCCAATCCTGGCCATCCCAGCCAGGCATCCTCATCCTCAGCGCCACTCCAGGCCCCCAGCCCCCGGCCCCACAGGTTCCTTGGGAGCGATCAGGTGGCAGCGTCCAATTTCCTCATTGTTTCGGGAGGTGTTTTCTGATGGGAAAGGTGAAAAGGGGATTTGTGAGCCTTGTAAACCGATTCCTCTGAGTTGGGTAAACAACGGGAGCTCTGTTGGCAGCAGGATGCCGGGATGCCGGAGCAGGGAGATGGGATTAAAGTGCAGCCTCTCCTGTGCCCTGAGCTGGGGGGCTGCTGGTGGGGCCCCCAATCCCTTGCAGAGCCCCCCTCACTTCCCCCTGGGGATCCAAAATGCAAGATCTGATGGAGTGACCGGGAACTACAGGTGGGAGCTGCTGGAAGAGCCAAGGACTCAGCCAGGGCCCGGTGTCAGAGGTATCCCAAAGAGGGTTTGCTGGGAGAGGAGGAGGAACACAAGCTAAGGAGGAAAACCGAGCAAGTTTGGCCAGAGAATCATTGAGAATGACACCCTACTTCTCCACACCCCCTCCCATGCAGGCACCTCTACTCCATGTGGACACACATGGATACACATGGATGAGCCAATACATTCCCAGCAATGCTGCAGACACAAGTGTCCTGCAGATAAGCCATCCAGAACCTTAAAATCCAACAGTCCTTCAGCTCTTTGTTAGGGAAGACCTAAAAATGGCTTTAAAATACAATTTTTTAAAAGAATGGGTTGACACATTTTCCAACTGCTCTCCTCCCTGGATGCAGACATTCTTTGCACCACGTCAACCACAAAATCTCCAGGGTAGCATCACCTTTCCCCACGTCCACAGCATACAATGCCCCTCACCTGATTTCAGACTTGGCAGAAACAGAGCAACATTTCCCAAGAATCTTCTCCTTGGAGAAGATGTTCTAAAGCTGATGCTGACATACATATAAGATGACATATGCTAAATGCTGTTTGTTTCAAAGAAATCCAAAAATAACTGGATCTTACATGGAGGACGTGTACGTCTGGCGGGCTGACAATGCCCGGCAGAGCGAGACCTGCAGGAGCTGGGAGGTTTTCCTGGTGTCTGGGCAGCTGAAGCCCCCATGGGCCCAGCTCTCCACATCAACAGAGCATGTGAGTCCTTCCAGATGGAGCACAACTCTCACCCACTGGGAATCTCCTCAAGGAAGGGCCAGATCCAGTAAAAAAGCCAAAGCTCTGTTCAAATTGGGTGTTGTATCCTGAAAAACACTCCTGAACCCTGTGATTTGGTGGTGTCCAGCCACACACAAATCCAATCCTGCACTCTCTGCCTCCCTCATCCAAGCTTCTCTGGGACACAGCAGCCATGCCCAGGCACTGGGGACTCTCTGCCACCAGTCAGAAGAATCAGTCCTGTTCCCAGAGCTGTTTCCAGACCCTGATGTCACAGAACCACATCAAACTCCTGCCGTTGGATGGTCC